ATATATATATATATATATATATACATACATACATAAACTTTAACATATGCCGACCTGGCGTGTCGTAGGAACGTCAAGAAACGCACGCTTTAATGGATAAATAAAAGTGCATGCATCGCGACGCGTCGGCGCGCAAGCTCGACATCACCGAGGCGATAATACGTTTTTCCACGATGACACGACGCATAATCCGCGAATAAATCATGTTTACGCTTAAGCTCGTGAGCAATGAACAACGAACGCCACCAGCGGATCCTTTACAGTATTTCGCTTGGGACTTTGTCCCCAAGCGTGACGAAGAGACTGAAATAAGATTTAAGATTAGATTTCGAGTTATATTATTGCAATAAAAATATAGTAAATCAAAAGATAGTAAAAGTAATAAATACGATTGAAAGAGTTGAGAAAACTTTTTTATAATGTTATTCTTTTATAATGTTATACTCTCTATAAAATGATTATAATATTTGATAAAAAGAGATCGTGACTAAGCTCGAAAAAAGTTGTAAGCAAATTTACACAAACTTTTTGAGACAACGTTCCATTGATGACTTTGTACCAACGTTATTATTTTAAACTGATTCAACAAACCCAAGTTCCGAGAACAGAGATTTTGTCAAAAATGAGATATCCCTATTCATTTTCTCGCGTCACATGTTCTCTTTTCCGACCGGATGTAAAGTTCACAATTAGGTAGGTAGGACGCAATATTTCAAGAAACTCTAAAGTTCGTTGCCAAAATAAATTACGTGGGGCGCTGCAAAGCACTGCAGTCGGATATACTCTCTCGGTATACACTGTGTAGAGGCGGTCCCCAAGCGGGATAGACACTACATTCCGAAAATGGAATGTCGACGCGATGTTCGTACGAGGAGGAGCTTTATCGCACCTCGTCCGTGCAGGCGGAAGAATGACCTGGCGCGGCGAAAGCCATTACTCGCATTTCGCAAGTCCTGGCACGGCGAAACGGCGAATTTACTGCACGGTTCGCATTTGATGATCATTCCAAGACAAGTTACCCAGCCCAAAGTGAGAACGAAATGACTCACAAACGATGTCTCCGTAAAATAATCATCTGTATTGATAGACGTGAGAAACAGAGATAGCTAGATAGATAGATAGATAGATAGATAAATAGATAGAGGGAGAGAGAGAGAGAGAGAGAAAATGCAATATTGCTTTTATAATTAAAATTATGAAGACATAGACATTTACTCTTCTTAAGAAAAAATCTAAAGACTCTGTTTTCATTTTAGAAATGCTGTTTTTAATTATGCTGCTTATAATAAATACAATATTTTACAGTAAATATTATATATTAATACAATATGATAATACAACAAATATTATTAATAGAGAGAGAAGTAGTAATTAATAGAGAGAGATGAAAAGTAGTATCTATTTATATGAGATCTGAGTATAAAAATATGTAGTTGCACTCATTTAGAATTCACTATTTCAGCTATTGATAGAACTCATATTGAATTTCTATTTCTTTCGTCTTTAAATGCAGATAATTATACCTGTGTGAAAGGAAATCCTTCGTTTTTCTTACAGTTTTTTTCATCGAGTGAGAACCCCAATGAATTCGCCTTGAAGCCGAAGAAACCCGTTCCTCCGATGCATTCACTTT